TGTGAGAGTTGACTGCTTCTGTCGCTTGGCGCCCAGAAGGGATCGTCCCGGAAAATGCATACCTGTGGTGGATGACGATGCTGGGGAAGCATGTAACGCGTTGGTATCTTGTTCTGCAACTGTTGTTGTGGAAGGGGAGAGGCTACCAGTGGTAAGTCTGGTGTCGTTGTGTGTAGCGTCATCTATGGTAGCTCGTTTCTGTCCACGAGTGGTTGTGGTGGGGGAAATCTCAATTGTGGAAATTGAGTCAGGTGGTGGAGAGGGCGTGTTGATAGGAGTGCTAGGTGCTGTGGCTCGTTTTGGTTTCTTTGGTGCTGGTGTGCTGGGTGCCTCAGTGTTTGCATCCGGAGCACGGAGAGCTTCGATTGTCTCCAGTGCTGTTGAAAGTCGTGCTTCCAGGTCACTGATACGGTGTGCAGCCAGAGTGTCTGCTTCTGTCGGCTGCGAAGATTGAAGTGGAAGATGAGGTTGTGATTTGCTGGATTGTGGTGGTGTTGGAGATTCGGTGGGTTGTGATTGTGTGTTGTCTGTGTCTGATTTGGCATCTTGCTTGTCCTTTTTGTTGCCGTCATTGTACTGGTCCTGCAGCTCTTGCAGGTATAACACCAATTCCTTGATGAGGTGTGACATTGCTGGCCGTTTTGCGAGTGTGAGCTTCTCTTGCCAGCAGAATGCGGTGGCTGCTTGGTCCAGATCAATTCTCCGTGCTCGGAGTTGACCCATAAGTTCAGTGGTAAAGACGGCTTCGCTGATATGTTTGCTGCATGTGAGATGGATGTCGAAGCCGTGTGCGGCGTAACGTAGCCAGTATGATGACCAATTGTGTCTTAGAAATGCGACCAATGGTGCTGTTGCGATCGGCATGCCTGCCGTGCGGTTGTGCACTGAATGTGGTGTAGATTGAATGTGTTTGGGTAGGTTGAGGCCGTAAAGCTGTCTGTTGTCCCAATGCTCTGGTGTTTGAACGAAGTCGTTTGGTATCTGGGGATTTGCAGGCGTGAGATTGGTGTGTTGTTGTTGTTGGGGTGTGACGGTGGCCTGAGGCAATGTATGTGAAGAAATGCTGGGGTTTTTAGTCGTCATCGGAGATGGACTCACAAATGTGTGTTGGGGAGTGGCAGGTGTGGGTGTTGGCAGTGTGGTGGGTGAAGCTGGGACGGTAAACTGCTGGGGTGGGGGAGGGGGTGGAGGGAAAGGGGGGAAAGTGGTGTTGTGGCTGTAAGGGTGAGCTGAACCCCAAGTAGTTGGGGTCATGGGTGGGGTGTGGGGTGGGATGTTGTGGATCCCTGGTGGTGGGGAAATCGGGTGCATTGGGGTGCTGCTGGTTGAGGCTGTTTGTCGCTGCACCGCACTGATTGCTGTACCGATGATGCCTGTTGGCATTGTTGTATGCCACTGAGGCTGTGTCGGCTTGTACATGGTTGCAAAATGGGGCACTACAATTGCCTGTGACTGCAAAAGCTGCAAATAGCACGTGCATGGACAACATAGTTGGCTTGAGTGTCAGCATCTACTTGTGCAATGCATCCAGCATGCAGCTGCATCGTCTCTTCTTTGGCTCAAAAGCGGGGTCGGAGCAAATGCTTGATTGCATACAGCTATGTGCAACGGGATTCAGGCCTGGAAGAGAAAGGATACTCGAGAGTGAAAGGTAGAAACGGAAGAAGAAAGAAAGTAATACAGAACATCACTGAATAAGGCCGAATCCAACGATGCTGAAATGCCCCGAGTGGAATCCCCACTTCTCTGGGGTCCGCACAACACCCTTTCGCCCCACGATGAAGGCCTCTCTATACATGTCCCGATACGTCATCTTGTAATGCTGATACTTAGTCCGTATTGTCCCGATGACGATCACTCCCTGTTGGCCCTTCGGCCGCCGTGTACATTGATCGGTTACTATATGTACCGTGCTTTCCGATACATCTCCTGGGGTCGCATTCCCGTATATGACGCAAGAGGGAATGGGTGGGTAGGACTTGTCGTCGAAGCAGTGTCTGACTGAACTTGGGCGGACCAAGTCCTCGCGCATAATGCGCGCGGCACTTGCAATGCTCGTGCCGTGTCCGGCGGTGTAGATGTATGTCTCTCCTGGTGGGTCAGTGGCACGGGTGCCGAACGCTCTGCGCTGCTCTCCAGCCCAAGGAATGAATAACATAGTATGCACGCCGTCCGATATTGGCGTCAGCACTGCCCCAAGTTCGTTGCACGCTGATCGCGTGCCTGATTGTAGCACTGCATGTGCAAATTCGGCTAAAGTCTCCTGCCTGAAATCGCTGTCAGCAGCTATCTCGCCCAAAGTTTTGGCGAGTTTGTGTGCTTCTTCCATGTCGACGGCGTGAGGGGTCGGCTTCTCATGTTCGTAAAGCTCAGAAAATGGCGCCACATCAATCTGTGGTGGTCTGCTCTGTTTGCCCAGTTGTTCGAGGGTTGGCTGACCCGATGGGGCAACGGCTGTTGATGCATCGTAGGTCGGGGCAGGTGTCCGAACGGAGCTGGAGGGATTGTGCTGAGCCTGTTGGCGGGAGGAGGTGCCCTGTCCGGCTGGGGGCTGCTGTTGTGCTGCTTGGCTGCCCTTGATGCGGAGGGCGATTCGTTGAACCTGCGAGGCCAATGTCCTTTGTGGGACCTTGGGTGGGGTGGGTGGCCTCTGACGTAGCTGTGTGGCTCTGTAATGCCACTTGTTGGTATCAACATCACGCACTGTAGAATAGCTGCGGAGCACAACCGAGGTCCGCGGAGGTGTCGACGAAGATCGCCTGGTGTCCCTGCGAGAACGACTTCTGCGGGTGTCGCGGGATCGGTGGTGTCTGCGTCGGCGGTGCTGTCTCCCGCTGCTGGCAGGTCGTGCTCTGCTGCGTGTGCGTCGTCGGCGTCTAGTGCTCACGGTGCGGGTTCTGCTGCGTGTGGGTGAGTGCCGTCTCCTGCGTGGCAACGGAGGATGGTGGGAAGAAGCACGTGCTGCGAGCGGGTCAGTGTCTCCCGATCCCGTAGCGGGTGGTGGTTGTGTGGGTGGTAATGTGCTGACAGAGGGTGTGTTGGCTGTGCTTATTGGCTGGGGTTGGGGGGTGATTGCCGGTGTCTGTGGGGCAATGTGTGCAGCATCGGTAGTGGTAACATTGGTGGGGTGAGATTGTGAAGCTTGTTGGAGGGTCGTTGGCTGCGGTATATGGGATTGTTGAGCGGGTTGTGTGGAAGGGATGCTGCAAGGTGCAGGTTGGGGTTGTGGAGCAGGTGGTGTGAAAGGAATGTTGTATGTGGCAGGCTGGGAGTGATGCGGTGTCAGAGGTGATGGGCTCGTGGGAAAAACTGTTGTATGGGTAGGCAAAGGACCAGGGTTCAAGAAAGTGGGGGGATGTTGCGACATGAATTGCTGGGGTGGAGGTTGTTGTGGCATCTGGGGCTGTGGTGTGCTGAGTTGTGTGTATACCATCGGATGCTGTGGTATAGGAGCAGTGTGTCCACATGGCATCATGGGGAAGCTGTGTGTCTGCTCAACGGGGATCGTAGTGGGTTGCGTCGGCAGTGTGTGCTGCTGAGTGGCAGCAATGCCAGTTGGCATCATTGCTGGGTATCCTTGTGACTGCGGTACCCAGGTGTTCGGGTGAAACTGATTGAGCACCGGTCGGGTTGTTGGTGCGTATGGTGTTGCTGGTGGCTGCGTGGTAAAATAATCCGGCCACATAGCTGCAACGAAGTTGGTGAAACAAACACAGTTGCACAAGCAAAGCGCAGGCTGTCCTGGTTGTCCCTGCTGGACGGACTTGAGATGTCGAAGACGGAGATAAAGAAAGAAGAAGGCCGATTACTTCCCGGAGGAAGCGCTGCTTCACTTGCGTTAGACACATGTTACCACGCCTGCCCTCATGTCAGTTGCACATGCCCTTGCAGTCCCTGAGAAATAAAGAAGCGGTCGAATAGAGGACAGACTAGCGAGGTAGCACCTGCTCACTAGACGCACTTTACTGCATTAGCCGTCCATTACTGCACCTGCACTCATGTCAGACGCACATGCGAGCATCAGAGAGAGAGAGATAAAATAGCATCGGGAGAATCTGAACGATCTGAACGAAGGCTGAACACCCGGTTCATCACCGGTCTCCCCGGAGGGTCACCACGGCGCCATGACGGAAAGCCGTTGCTCTGGAGTCTCAACGACCCACGCTGATCACACTGATGGATTCGGCCAAGAGTACGAGTGCAAAGGACAAAAAGAGGAATGTTGTTCATGTTGCAACTGTTTGTCAGATTGCGGCAACCGTACAAATTGTTTGTCTAATCTGGACACCACAGGGGGCCTGTCCTCAGACTAATCTTGGCACCACAGGGGGCTGCCGAAAATTGTGCAGGTACATGACTGAGCGTCCTCAATCACTTCCCTTCCAGTGACCTAGCTTCGTTGGATCAGGTCAGTCACTGGAAGCCTGATCCCCCTGCAACAGTTGATTTGGTAAATGTCCAATGTCGGATTATGTTGAAAAGCGAAATTGCAAACAGTGTAGGAGTGACCCTCTGCTCCCATGTGCTAGGGAGGTTCACACACACACACACACACACACGCATGTGCGTGCGCGCAAGTCGGAACTGTCACTCCCTGCTGTTTACGGAGAACGGAGTTGTGTTGTGTGTTTGTGTTCTCGGCTTGTTTCTGAAGGTTTTTTGGCCAGTTTAGGCTTGGCCGATCATACAGACATGGCAGCAGGAGCACAGGCAGGAACCCGTGCTCCATGCTTCCGGTGTGGCACGGCGGCGTACATACTGTCGCCGTCGAAAGCATGCACGGACGAGGCTGATCTCGCTGCAGCTCCGGGTGTTTTGAGAGGAGCGCCGTCATTCACCTTTTCGTGCACGTTCGCAATTTGCTTCTTGTGGTTTAGCTTGCTTCCAACAAGCTCACGACAACGGGCATGGTGATGCACCTCAAAACCTGCTTAGTTTTGGTCCATGGCGAGAACTGAGAACTGGATGGCTTCCATGCAGATATGAGCTTCGGCTGCGTCCTTGCGCCACTGCTGATTTTGGAGCTACTTCACCTGCATGACACCACAGCTTCTCCGTTGCTTTCTGCAAGCTGCACGAAATTCCATGCTGTCTCCATAGCGGTGAACGGAACGTCTGGTGGCGAGCAAGGCCTTCAGCGATGTCCGATGTTCCTTCAGAGTCCGCCTGCGAGGTCGACCCGCGAAGCCGGAAAGCAGATGAACGTTGGATGCAGCTTGCCTTCCCCGTCTTTTCCAGCACACTGTGCTTACTGGAGTCGGATGCCTGCAGCACGAGATGCGGACTGCATCCAGCCACCAAGGCCTACCAAGGCCAAGGCGCAGGCCTCCTGGCAACGTGGGCTTCCGCTACCGCTTTTGGAGTCGAAGCAACTGCTCTGATTGGAAATGCGCACGCTTCGGCTGCGCTGGCTTGCCACGGGAGTGCGAACTGGAGCACTGCGCGCAGCTACCGAGTCCTGCACTGAATCATACAGAATCATAGCCAATGCATGCCCAACACTCTGGGGTTTGGGGCTGGTGTCCTCACTCAGCGTTCGCGACGATGATTCCTTCACTGCAACCGCAGCAGAAGCAAGAAGCGGACGGGGAATCTGAGCAACCTTTGAATCCAGTCACAAGGCACCACTTCTGATATCTTCTGATACTTGTTGAAAGGCTGACATGCATGTCCATGTGAAACGCCGTGTTTCGGATCCTCGTCCTGTCTCGGAGGGGGTAGTCCCTTGCCAACCTGCAGAGACAAACACAGCTTCTGCCACGAAAACAAAAAAGACTGTTACGATGACTATTGCAGGCTGCACGGCTGCCCTGCTCTGCCCGCGACCTTCAACGGCGAGCCCTTTGCCAATAAAGTCTCCAACATCGCCTTAGTTTCTGCCAAAGTTAGCAAGCGCACAGGACTACTGCTCCTCTTTTCAAACTCCTCGCCCCCCTGCGTTCCCAAGCTGACCAGGCGATGGGATACAGCGGGAAACAGGAGGACCGTAAGTTCAGGAATGTTTCGAACTGATGCTCGCTCTCGAGCACATGCTGGGCTCTGGGCAACACGCTCGCGAAGAGCCTCGGTCACCTGGCGTGCCGAACACGTCCTGAGTTTCAATCGAGTTTGAACGGCACCCGGCACCTCGGGGGAGTAGGATTGGCGCGAATCGGCCTGGATCCGTACCTCAGCTCGAAGCTTCGAAGCCGAAAACAACTGCGACATTGCCACCTGCCGAGGTGTCGGTGGACATTGCCCAGGAGACGCCTTCGGTCTGGCAGCTTCTCACGCACACGGCCACGGCGGAGGACTTCGCCTCGATGGCTTGAACTTCGTCCTGCGCGCCCTTCTCCATGGGTGCCTCTCTCCGGCCTGCAGAATCGAACGCTTGCTCTGTGGTTTGGCAGCGTGTAGCGGCAGCGGAAACCTCAGGCAAAAGGTACCAACAGCACTAGCTGGACCTAGATCCGGCTTACATCGGTTGCTGCGGAGTCGCACGACCGATGATTCGTCAGGCATCTCTTGCCCGAAGACTTGTTGAGTTGCTGACGTGGTGTTGCTCTGTCGAATGAAGCCCATGACTGTCAAAGCAGCTGTGAGGCTCGTTTCAAGGTTTTCGATGTTTTCGTAGGCTTGACTCGTTTGGCCTCTGGATCTGTGCAGCAATGCGAGCGCACATGCCTCTGAAGGAAAACAGAACGACTGGGTAGACACTCGTGCATGATTGGCAACCTTGCAATGTAAGTCCAAGCAGATCTGTCTGAAACGTGGATCTGCCGAGATTTGGCGTTGTTCAGAAATTTATCCCACAAGCCGAACAGTATCTGAGCCAGCGCAACATTCGCTGCAGCAACATAACAGTCAGTGTGACTTGCCGGCATTCACGAGCTCCGCAACCATCTCAGTTGCGGCCTGTCACTTCTGCCGCCACCGGACTGCCTCCAGGTCGCTTGCTACAAGCCTAAAGAAAAGCCTAAGCCTGCCCACGTTTCCGACAGCCTGCATCTCGGATGTGCGAGCCCTGTGGTTCAGAACTTGCACTTCTCCGAACCTGGTACGCTGGCACAGGAAGCACCATCCTACTTTGTCAGATTTGACTCTGCCGTGAACTTCGGAACCGAACAGGCCCGTGCCTGTGCAAAGGTTTCTGAGCCGGAAGAGCTCCTTGCACACAGCTGCAACTGCACAGAAGAGAGGGACGAGTGAAATGTACATTCGTCCAGGAAACAGTGCCCCCTGAAAGAAGCTGCTGCGCTGGACACCTACCTAGGCCAAAAAATGATGGATTCGTTGAAAGGTCATTGAAGTACCAGAATCTACCAGACACACCTTCTCACACTATCCACTCACTGGCTAAGGGCTGCTGACTTCCTGAAGACATCTGATGAATGGTATGCTGGGGACAACCCCCTGGGGAGGTCAACAGCAAACAAATGTCCTGAAAGGTGTCTGCACCGCATCTGGCGAGGCTTGTTGATCTGCGCTGCAATATGGTACAATCCAGGCAGATGCTGAAATGCTTGCATCTACACATGCGCTTCAACCACCAGAGGCTGGAACCAGGTCCCGCAGCATCCTTGTGTCTGTTCCTGGACAGTGGCCAATGTGACAAAAACCTTCGATTCCTATGATCGATGTGCATTAGCAGTAGCAGGGTTGCGAGTTGCTCCCCAACGCCACAGTGCATGTGGGCAGCCTGATAATCTCGACCAGACTTTGCTTTGCCGGCACGAGTTCCACATCCGACCTCTGCAGGCGCGTTTGCGAATCATGCCGTAACTGGAATGCGTACTTCACCGGACTACCTTAAAACAAGACGACAGCGGAAGACACAAACACAAGCGGAGAACAAGACACGGGACACAGGAAAGGTTAAAGGGGAGAGTGCAACCCCACAAGACCAGGACACCGACGCAACGACGAAAGACCCAAGCACCGGAACGCCGCAAAACCGAAACATCCGGATGCCAATGCAACGGAACAATTGCACCCTAAGTTCGAGTTATCGACACACCATGAATCACCGGAACCAAGGCTTGTCTGGAAACTGACGCAACGACAAGGACGTCATAGATAACCACTAAATTGATTGGGACGGTGTATGGTGGTCCGCGTCACCAGCACGTTGGAACAGCGCACCCCCACATCGAGACCCTTGCACAGCGCAACACCGGATAGCTGGAGCCATAGCGCCTGTACACCACGAGACTGAAACACCGGGGCACACCGGGATGCCAGGACATGTGAGCACCGGGACTGAAAGACTACCTTGAAGAGTATAACGGTGACTATAGGTGGCTCTGGAGGAAAAGAAAACTTGTGAAGAAGCAGTGATGAACTTGTGAAGGACATCCAGGAATACTGCACACGGTTCGTCCTGGGAAATAGTGCCGAAAAGGGTTAAGGAAATCGTGTTCGATCGAGCAAAGGTTACCAAGCCAATCTGCGCAGGGGCAAAGGGCCTGTGGGAGCTCTGTTGCATAACGCGTCAAAAGGAAGCTGCTGAACGTGCGACATGCGCAGCATACGAAACGCTTGCCCGAACAACCATAACCACAACCGACAAGAATGGCACCAGCACGTACAAACGTTAACTCTTGTTTCCGCGATGCTCGCGCATATAGTCAAGCAGACATATCTATTCTAGAGCTAATTACATGAACGTAGTTAGCTCCAAACTTTGATGTGACATGTCCTCTCATTGTTGACTTTTCCGGTCGCTTTTAAAGTTGCAGACCTTTGTGCCCACCTGTTGCCCGTTCCCTCGCATCTAGACTCGAGACGCTGGGAAACTGGCGGATGTCCCGACAGACTCGGACTCGGAAGGGATCGTTCCTGCCGGAATACCAACAGTCTCCGCAGCGCAAACGACGCTGGGCTGAGCGCTAAGCTGTTGAACCGTACGGATTTGGTGAGCACGAACCTCCCGGCAAGTCCTGGCCCGCAGTTCATCTACGTCGACGTGCTTCGCAAGACAAGAACTCTTTCGCAGGGTCCGTTCGAGCGAAACTTTCTCGCCAGCCTGCTCGCAGTGGTCGCTAAGTGCCGCTTCTTGGCTGGTTCACGCAGTACCAAGTCATCTAGCAGGGCACCAGCTTCGAGCGCACTCACGACAGACCTGCCAACACTGACGACACGAGGGCCATCAGGGGCACAGAGCGCAAAGGCCCTGCCTCGAAGCTTTCAAGCTGGTCTCTGGCTGCACCTCAACATGAAAGATGAAGCCGACCGGAGCCGACAGCCGACAGCCGAGGCTTCTGCTGGGAAGCCGACGGATCGGCTGCTGGGAGAGTACTGCACCCTAAGCGATGCTCTTGCTCTTGCGCTCGTTTCACAGAACCGTACGTCTCTTAGGCACCAACCTCAGGTCAGCAAAACCAGCAAAAGCACGGTCTCCTTGAACCATGACATCTGCACCCAAACAGCATGGCCATGGCATCACGCCTCTCAAAGAAACGAAAAGTCTTTCGTCGCGAGGACCTGCAGACGCCATTCCAGGAGCACGCAGTGCCAAAAGAAAGAACCTCATGGAGATAACTGAGCCATGCACCCGGAGGAGAAGCTTCGACTTCCTCATGCAGATTGCAACATATTGCAACCAATGCATGAACATCGGCACAAACAAACGCCAACCTTGGAAGAAGACCATCGCAGGCACCTGTCGCCTCTGCGATTTAAAGCTGAGGGTCCACACAACACCCCGATTACGATTCAATGCGCAAGCGCTTGTGCACGCTGACATACGTTGACCTACGTTGGCACAATGCATTCTCGAATATCAAGCACACGAGCATATGCAGAAGCCAACTCCTGCAAACCCGGCTGCGAAAGTCACATAATTAAGACTCGCGTGCAAGGCTAACTTGCGATCTTTAGATGCACCGATCCGTTCGTGGCAGCAGCTGCAGACGAAGCCATCAGGAACGGAAAAAGCTACGCGACACGACATCTTGAAACGCAATGGAATTCCAGTCCCTACGGCCTCCATCCGGCATCGACACAGGAGCAGTCTTCTTTTTCACGTTCCGTCCATCCCTCCCACATCCTCCCACTATACCGGCAGCGATAGGAATGGAGTAATGGTTTGCTTTGCATACCGTCGAATTGAATTCTGCTGAAACCCACGTATGCCGAGCATGTGCGTGCACTCACCGGTTTGTTTTTACAGAACCCCCCAAACGTCAAAGCCAAGTCCGGGCTATCTAGCGAATTGCGGTTAGATCAAGATGAAACTTCACTTGAGGCCGAAGGAACACATGTCGTTTGCCTGAAGGACCTAGAGCGCTGTCTTTCAATACTTGGCTGCAATCATAAATTCATTGCAAAAGTTGACCGGCAGCCTGTCTGGCTGCATGGTCTCAAAAACACTAGTCTTACTGCACCTGAAAGCTTCTGTATGTAGCTTATCGACGGAAGGTGTCACTTGTAAGACGCAAAAAGCTGGTTCGTTGGATTCTGATCGTCCCTGCAGACCGTACATAGTGACATAATCATGCAGCACCGTAAAGAAAAACTTCGCGGCGCCGCCAAATTCAGCGAAAGGATCAAGCAAGCGCTGAAGCTCTCTGTAAACAGAAGGATGTGCCCTGAGTCGTCTGCAGACTGGAAGCAGGAGTCACCAGGAGGGCTGAAATATGATGGGCACCACAGTTTCTCGCCACTGTTACTGCCCCCGCCCCAGCTGTCCTTTTAAAGATTTCTGGCATGAAGCCACTTCTGAACGGTCACAAGAGACTTCAACATGCAAGACACCAGCTAGCTAGCACTTGTGAAGCACGGCGACTCCTCCTGAAAACAAGGGCGCCCTGGTTGTAAGTCACAGCAGCGGCAGCACTTCTGAACTTGTGCCCTACACATACTTCTACACTGAGACATTCACTCCCGTCCCTGGGTTTCACCCGGGCCTTGCGGCTTTGCCGCCCGGCTCGGATGGCCATCTTCTTAAAGCTAAGTCTTTTTGCAATGGCCTCACTTAGAGGCATCCTGGCAGACTCCAATTTCGTCAAGGCATCCACCAGCAATTGATTGGCTTTTCGAGCCGGTGGGCGAAGGCCGAAGGCTGATCGTTGTAGTCACTGTAGTCACTCCTCTTCACCCAGTAACTCCTCGATCTCATAAACCAAGATGCGGAGACGCCTGTCCGCCGGCTGCCCTCTATAGACGTGTTCAGCGTGCTCTCGGGGGCTCGGTAAGTAGTACAGGGCCAGGTCGCGGGTAAAAGAGAAAGTCCTTGACGCCGACTTTCTGGAAGGAAGGTGCTGGCACCGATGTCCAGAACGGTGCCCTGAAAGCCATGCAAAGTAGCATGCGGAGGTTTGCGTCGGTCTCGCAACTGAACACACACCCTTGATCCCAATTTGATTGGCCTTACTGAACACTGCTGCTCACGACGTCTTTTGAACCCTAGATCACAAGTCCTGGCCTCATGGGACAGCCCTTTTCTTGCAAGGCAGTCTCGTAACGTTTCGCCCAGCTGCTTCCATGCCCCAAACTGTCAAGGATTGCAAGGCCAGCCCGCTCCCATTGTTCGAGGAATCCTGGCTTGCTTCGATGGCCTCCCATTGGTTGGGTGCTGCTGCTCCTGCCGGCGACCCGTCCTCAAATGTCATCATCACCTCGCAATGCTGGCAGCATAACAACATCAAGGTGCGACTGGTCCATGGCAGCGGGAGCCCTCAACATTCGTGCAGTCATCATGTTTCCCCGGCTCTGCTTCCCTTTTCTCTGTCCTTGTTCGGCTTGCCATTCATTCTGAACGGTCCCTCACAAGCTGTAGACAGCTGAACAAGTCAAGGCGAAGCAGCAGATCTCAGGCTGCGTCACCTGATTGCCGAGGGCTGAGTGCATCACGCTCGTGCAGAAAAGGGCTCTCCCGAAGCGTCGATGAAGAAGGCATTTCTGTCGGGGAATAGCCGTCTTGAATAGGTGTAGGCCAGGGTTGACAATCATGCAGCTCAGGGGCCTCGGCACAGTGGAAATATCAAATCGTTTTCTCGGGCACGCTTTTTCCTGTTACGCGGACCTTGGCGATCCTTTAGGCCAGGGCTCGCCGCCTGCCCCACAGGGTTGTGATCGCCACTTGCACCAGACTGCGCCCAGTGATGACGGCGGGCCGGCACTCATCTCCTTTACAGTCGATTCCTCTTGTGTGGACATGGCCGCTTCTGTAGTGCTTGAGTGCTTGCACAAGTCACAAGTCTGTGTTTCACGAACTCACCATGCCTGACCTTGACGGCGGCAATCGGCAAAGTACTGCTCCTCCGGCTCCTCCGCGGTCTCGGGGAGCTCTGCGTTCACGTACAAGAAGCTCGACCGCCTGATCAGCGACCCTTCATGCCTCAGGTGGTGCACTGCGTCAATTGCATTCTTCTTTGGGTCGTTTCCTTCCCGGTGGAAGGCGATCTTTCCTTGAACTCGGAAGGCGATCCCGTCAGTCCCCGCTCCAACTGCTTTTGAGGACGCCCACAATAATTGCGAAGTGGCCAGGGGGTTCTTGACTCTTGCATGCTGTGGGACCCCCATGCTTTCACGCCGGCTTTGCTTGAGCTTCACAACACATCACGGTGTGATCGTTTTCTAACTTAACTGTCTCGTAGCAGTTCTGACCCGAAGAATACCAGCAGAGTATAGGACGGACAATACATTTCCGGTCGTGGGAAATGTATTGAGCAGGGGTAGACTGGTATCCCCCTCGCCATACATCAGTTACGGCTGTGGCTAGTCCAGTAGGTACACCGGCTTGCTGGCACTATTCGGGAAGTGGATGCCCCGGTCGAGGCCACCGAAGATGAGCACATAAGGGCACGAGAAGTTGCCCGGGCAGTCTCTTGAAGTCCAGCTCCCCTCGCACGACGTACTGAATCGCCCCACCTGGTTGCCTTCAAACTCCTCTGCTGTAAGCGGCGGTCAAGCTGCCGGTCAAGAAGAGTTCTTTGACCTTCACGGGGGACTCCGCGGCGAAAGGATCCTTCAGAGTCTGGAGCAGCAACTTCATCCCGTAATCCGCCACCGGCCGTCAGAGGTGTTTGTCCCAAGCTTGTCGCGGGCACGCTTTCGCACAGCTTCGTATGCAGCGCCCATCAATCCAGCTCGAGGGTGAACTAGAGTGGCTAGCTGGTGCTGGTCTGAACCGTCAAGGCCATGGAAGAGGTCCCAGGCCTGTTCCTGATACTCTTGTAAACTGGGCCGTTCTCACCTGTAGTGTGGAACTCCATGCCTGTCTGCATCCACGTTATCCAAAGGTTCTCGAAGTGCACGTAGAAATCGAAGTTTTTGTTGGGCTCGAAGGCCAAGCGCCGGCCACGGGGCGGGTGCACAAAGGACAAGTTCTGCCGAGGTCCACCAAAGGAAGCTTGGCGCAGGACTAGCAAAACACTGTAACGGTCTGCTGGGTCCGTCCAGCTCCTCTTGGGATGCAAAAAGAAACACGAGCTAGCAATGGTGAAGCACGGCAGATTCACCTCTAAACAAGAGCGCCCTGGTTGTAAGCCGCAGCGGCGGCGGCATGTTCGTTCTTCTGATCTGCTGCGCTACACAGGTGCGCTATATTGGGAAACTCACACAAGATGTCCGAGAACCTAAAGCGAGACAAAGAGCAGATCCGACAGCAGACCCACCATGGGAACGAAAGAAAACAACCGGGACGACGTGACCGACGGACTCACCGGTGAAAACATAAACTTGTTTGTGGCAGGAATCGATAGGAATAAAGACAGCCGGCAGTGAGCTGCTTGCGGAGTAGACTCTAGCAGACAGCTTACGCCGGAAGGACGTGGCACAGCGGACTCTGCCACATATCCTGAAAAAATGCCTGCGAGCCGCGACGCTGCCACCGATTTGCCCTCAGTCCACATGTCAGGCCTAAACGGCTACGATCAGGGATGGGCATATCTCGGGTCTGAACGGCTTCGAGCCTGCATGACAGAACAGAGGGAGTTGCCGAAATTCGACAAGAATTGGTTTATTCAGCAGCAAGCTTCTCGCGACCTGTGTCTGTCGTCGCTTGCGATGTGCTGCCTGGCAGGATGAACGATCTGTCGTCCGTCTGGCTCCGTGATACCGGGCCTGTCTGTGTTGAAGATGCCGGAACCTCACTGGACATCTTCAGCCATCAGCATCAAGCATATCAAGCACTGTCCCAACTGGAGCCTGCATCTGGGCTCCAAGCGGAACGTCATGTCTGCATCGCGGACAACCACTTGAGTAAAACTCCGCAGGTACTCCACTGTCCCTCACGTGGATCGCGGCCTTTTGCGAAAAAGTGCATACCAGGCATGATCCATCTCGGTCTCAACAGGAATAAGGTCCGATCGTTGTTGTCCATGGCTTCTTAGACGGAAGAGTTCTCAGCGCCTTCGCAAAACCTTTTGTCGACAGCTCAGTTGTCAGGTCGGCGCTTGGGTGGTCACAGTGATGCAGCATGACAGTGGTCAGTCAGGTTCATTGGCCGGGGTCCAAACGCTGCGTCGATAAGCCCGTCCAAGGCCATGAGGGGCCACGCATGCAAAGAACAACTGTTTGAAAGTTGCACCGAAGCCCGTGCGAGATTTTGGAATCGCCAAACATGGCACGACTACGGCTGCCAAGGAGAAGTCCAGCAGGTGCTGAAGTCGTTCCTAGTGCTTCTTGTTGAGAAACATGCTTCGGGCATTAAATGCCTCCAAAACCCATTCAATTTGACAACAGATTTCGCCATACAGAGAAAACAGAGACCAGGTGAGCGCATGTGAAAGGGAGACGGCACAAAGGTGCAGATTTGTACCCACGGTGGAAAACGTGCCTGGCTTTGCCAAAGCGTCGTAGTCTTTTCATCAATCCATCCAAACTTGCTACTTGTGGCTCTCTCACTGCTTCACCAGAAGCTCGCGCCCAACTCCAAAGTGAACCCAGGCCTGCAAAATGCTCTGTCGACAACTGGACTGACAATGTGATAGCTCCACCTCTGGGGCATTTCCCAGCTTTCGCAGTTCACTTTCGTGAAGTTGTAGCCACCTTGAAGTCGATGGAAGCAGACGCGAAAGCCTTGCTTAGCCTGCCCAGCGACTGCCCGAGCCTGCCCGCTGCATCATGTAGGATCTTGTGACCGTGTACGCGCTGCCCCACACCACGCTCTCCCAAAACTCTTGACCTTCCGCACATGTGCCGCAACTTGCTCTTGTGCCACCAGCAAACAAGTGCAAGTCTCAGCTGACCGACTTCACATCAGGAGCCGCTCTCACGATAGCACGTTCTCTCACCAAATACCTGCCGACAAAGAAATGGAAAACACACTGGATGCTGTCTCATGATGTGCATGCTGAGCCGATAACCAGCTGCTTGTGCTAATGATCGTAGCTTGAAGCTCACCCTCCTCAGTTCACTCAAGACAGGTCGTCTTCGAGGCCATTCACTGTGCATGGAGACAAAACTTCACTGCTCCTCCTCCACGAGAAACTCGTGCGCCTTTGGCAGCGAAAATGCACAGCCACACAACATGCTGGGCTGTTCACATCACATGCAAAAGGACCTGCGTCTCTCCCTGGACACTTGCCAAAACAAGAACGTGTCTGCAAGCCCCGTTAGAAACCAAAGCTTGCCTGATCGAGGTCCTCATCCTGAATGTGGGTGTGTGCAAACCACATTGGATGGAGGCAGTCTTCAGCAGGACACCAGCCTCGACAACGTGCAGGGAGAAGGATGGCACCCCTCCGTCGGCTCCTGGCGGTTGTGGCAAAACACTGGCAAAACAGACTGGATGCTGCCGCATTCACACTTGCCGGCCAACCTGGGCAGTAGACGAAGAGATCCTGCAAACCAACTTTCTCAAGTGAAAACATTGAGGATGGTCATCCAACGTTCCTTTGGGGCTTGAGACTGGCAGTATGCTTCTCTCTCTCCATAATCATCCTCGTTTCACAAAGCCTCGCATCCTCATGACCCTAGACTGTCACCGAGGCTGGCGATGGCTGGCGAGGATACATACGACCACTCGAAGAGTTCCACACTGGCTAACTCCGAGGATGTACTCGAAGTCTCCTTTAGCACGTGACGCAAGCTGGGAAGTAGCCAGTAGGAAAAAGTGACTTTCTCACTCAGTGTGCACGGGCGTTTCCATTCCGACTGCAAATCTAACCGCGGCTTCTCGACACCAGTCCTGTCGTCGTGAAGGAGCCAGCTTGGCATCGCGTGGCCTTGGCACATGCTTTTGAATGTACACCAGGCGTCTGTGCCAAGGATACCCATCTGTCTAAAGCCCAAGGCAGCCCAAGAAGTGTGTTGATCTCCTCGTGCTGTTTCTTAACCTGCAGCCGGCCGCCCGCCCTTGGAGTTTGAATGGCACACGGAAAGAATCCACCTTGCCGTTGCGCATTGCAGTCTCGATTCGACTGAACATTTCTCCGACCTCCAGAGCAGCAATGGCTCAGGTGGCTGTAAACTATTTGGTCCGGTTTACGCAAGCTGATTCGGAAGCTCAGTCATGCGTCTGAAAGAACTCTGAGTCTCCAGTGCAATCACCCGCGAAACGGCACTGACACCCTTCCTGCATGCGTTTCGAGGTTGTTTGTGCCCACGAGCTGAGGCATAAACCCCGTCCCAGTCGCCGCGCAATCCATGAGCCGGCAAAATTTTGTGATACCTTGGGCAGGGTTTGGACAACCCCAGTTAAGCTTCGACCTGTAAGAACTGGGAAGCTGGCACGGTCATGACAAGCACCTTCATGAATACTGACGGAGCACATGGGTTTAGCAGCTGTGCAAGCTTGGATTGACAATCTGCACTAATGCAGCTTGTCGGTGCCTCGAACGCCTCGAAATATGCCTTTCCATCCTCGCACGCAACATCATCGAAAACGCCGAAAAGCTTGAGCAATGTAAGTTCTGAAGCACTTCCGGATTGGCCTGCCCAAAACAGCACAACTCCAAGACACCCTACAAATCTCCAAGGTAAGGCTTGGACATTATGTCCTCTCAGCTTTCGCCTGGACCGCAAGCGAGTGGGAGGAGAGCACAGCAGCAAATAGTTCTCGGGCTCGTAGCCAACAACACCGATGTTTCCTTGATCATCATACCTTCAAACCTCCAGTCCTACAAGCTCCAAGCACGACTGTTGGGCGTTGTGTCGCATATCCAATTCTGGGCTTGCAGCCTAGCAAAGAAAGCAAGGAAGCTCAGCTCATGGCTGAGGGTACTGCCGCTGCAGGCGCTGCAACCTCGGTGAGCGTCCATCCACAGCACAGCCTTTCCATGGAACGCCAGCCATGTCACTTCTGTTGAAAGTCTGCACTCTTGAAGGCAATCAGCAATCTTTCCTGCCACGGCCACAATGCAAAGCCGAACAGAAATCTTTCCCTTTCTCGAGGTCGAGTCAAGGCCTGCAAATGCAATGCCTCCGGGAGGGTGAACTGGACACCGTTCACCGGAACTGGCTGAAGAGAAGTGGTGCGACAGCAGTGCCGACCGACTCACTGGTCATCGTGGCCTGGCCTGGTGCTGTTGATGCTCCACTCGCACCTCCGCTGCCCTGGATTCCCTGGATCCGAAGAAGCGTGCAGTGTTTGCTGCCGACAAGTGGCCTCAAGAGAGAATCGAGATCCCTGCCGCAGGCGCCGGGCGAGGTTTGATGAAGCCGCTACTTTCGAAGAAGTTCCTCAGCTCGGAGTCCTGGACGGGAGGCTCACAGATCGGAGACTTGAAAACGCCGAAAGCAAGGCAAAGCTCTCTGTCTGGGCTTTGTACTGACCAGTTTGCGGCTTCGACCGGGATTTCTAAGCTTGCACCTTGCATTTCACTGCAGTTCTATTTCCGGAGCTTGATCTCGACGGGCTGAACGACGACAAGCCTCTTCATCTTCACTTCAATCCATCCGTCTGGGCCTCCTACAGCCCGGAAACTCCTCGCGAAGCTCCTCACCAGGAAAGACATCAGCGGAGTCCATGGAGCACAAGCACGAATAGAGCTTGGTGTCTCAGGCTCCTTGTTTGGGTTGTAAGAGGGTTGCTGGGGCTGCCAATGCTGAGTTTGCACGCTAAAACAAATGCAGGGAAAAAGGAACACAATGATCATGAATTTACAATAAGAGGTTCCCGTTGACACGCTGACAAGACACGGAAACCTCTTGATGTGACGATGTTCTGCAAAGCAAGCCTGCGCGAGTGCAAAACACACAGCCCCTGCCTCCCTGCAACACATAATCCTCGCGCGACAGGCGCGGAGGATGCCTCTTTATATACGTACATACATAGCTCCTGCGCCTGCTCCTGCTGCTCCTGCTGCTCCTGCTGCTCCTGCTGCTCCTGCTGCTCCTGCTGCTGCTCCTGCTGCTCCTGCTGCTCCTGCTGCTACTACTACTATTTTCAATTGAACGCTGCGCGAGCGTGCTCTGCGCTTTGCGGGCGCCTTTGGTCTCGTGCACTCGTGAAACTGCTTCTAGCATGCATCGCTCAGGTCTCTCTAATCAGCTCGAACTTGACATACTACTGCAACTGCTACTGCTACAAAAAGCTTCCTTCTCCGACACCTTGGTGTGAACAGACACGTCCATCTGTGCACCTGTCTCAACAATTAGGCCGTACCTCAGACGAAGCCGCCACCTGGAGTATCCGTCTCGTGGCGTCCCACACGGATTACTCATGTTGAAGACAGAAGGCCGTAAGGGTCATGTGCGGATGACCGCTGGTACCTGAAGCAACTCCGGTGGCGTGAGACTTTGGGCAGCTTGGATGTGGGCAACTCGCTGAAGCGCAAAGTGCTGTTTTAAGCGAGGCTAGCACGCGGTTCACATTCTTCCGAAGAGATGTGCTAGGCGTCGGAAGAGTGCCGAATTCCCTGAGTCTGTGACATAAGGGATCATAGAGTCTGTGACATATTACCGCCCTCACTGGTCATGACCTTTTGGCCACTGCTGAGAATAACCATGCCAGGACCACTGCTGCCACCAGTCCCAGTCGTCATCCTGAGATGAGCGTGCCTGTCTGGCCCACTGGGACGTGGAAGATGAGGAGGGGCCATCGCGCTGCCGCTTGCCCTCTGTGTCAGCCTCCTGCATCTGTGGGCGCTTGTTGGGGGCAGCAGCAGCCAGTTTGGCCATGCGCTTGTCCTCTTCGTTCCCCTTGTCATGCTGTATCCGCATCTTCATGATGGAGTAGGCATTTTTGTCGGGTTTGACCCGGAAAACACGAGCTGGGAGTCCGGCTGATTTGGCCGTCTCATTGTAGACTGCCACTATGGTGGTGGCGATCATATTGAACTCGACCCACGAGGGGAAGTGCTGCCGAAAGGCCTTTTCGTCCCACATCTTGTTGAAGCAGGCATGGATAAGGCCATGCACCTTTGTTGGTGCGTCCAGCTCACGGTAGGCGTCACCCGCGCCTGTGGCGATGGTGACCTTCCCATCGCTTGTGAGGACCCGCCTCACCGACATGGCGGTGTCCCATGTGAGGCCGGTTTGCGTCCTTACGGACTTGATGGCAGAGAACAGCGGCGGAACTTCTCGGAGTGCTTCCATCCTGGTAGACCAAAGGGTCTGTTGTTCTTGGTTGGTGAGGCCGCCAAGAATGACCGGAGCCACCAGGATGTTGATGGAAGCCAAGGCCCGAATCCAGTCCTGATGGGACTGGGAGCTCAGCAGCTGAGCCAGCTCCTGCCGCGTGTAACGTACTGTCAGCCGTGGAGCCGGCTGTGGGACATAGCCGACGAGTTCCGCATTGGATTCCGGAGGGGGAGCTGGTGCTGCCGAGGATGAAGAGGGCGGGGGGCATTGGGTGGCCACCATGGGCGGTGGGGCCTTAACCGGAAGCGCCGGGGCCGCCTTCGGTGTCTCTGCTTGGCCTGCTTTGAAAGCCGCCTTTTCAGCTGCTGAGGAAGTGAAAGGGCACGGGGGGGAGGGTGGCGGCTCGAAGCCGGCTGCTTTGTCTATACCTTTGGTCCTGGTACTGCTGGGGGGAAGAGGAATTTCCTGTGGGAGCTTGGGGGGAGGAGGAGGGGGAGGAGTGTGGGGGTCCGGCGTGGCACTGAGTGCCGGGTCGTGCTTCTGAGTGACAAAGTGGTTTTTAAGGCCGTGGCTAGTGCTGAATTGCACCTGCCTGTTGTGCTTCCGGCAGTGCAAGCAGCATAACCACATGTCCCCCGAAACTATCACTTGCCCTAATCCTCGAGGGATAAGCTCCAGCACATCCTGCTCTGTAAGGTCTTGGTTGTAGTGGTGGGTTTCACGGACCGTAGCCATGATCTCTGCAAAGGAGTTGTGCTGGATGCTGTCGGCCACATAGGCTTCAATATCCTCCTGAGTGGGAGGAGGGGGAGCCGATGAGGCGGTTGCCATGGTCTGTGACCTTGGTGGCTGTGGTGAGCTGTGCTCTTCAGGTCTGTCAGACTGGATTTCAAGGGAGATGTCAGGGAGTTGGCTCTGCAGCATGCGGTCTGTGCGTTCTTTGGTGGTTGGGTCTCCCTGAAATCCCTTCAGCCACTTCCAGCACCGGGTATATGCAACGGTCGTGTTGTTGGTAGTCACGAAATAGTGGCCATCATTGTCGTACTTCTTGTTCTTCACTCGCTTGTCCCAGCGCTCCGAGAACAGGTAGATGGGGCCAAATTTGGTGGAAACATTCCATCCCGGCTGAGGGGAGTGACCAAGGTCACGACCCAAGATCTGCCAAAGATATTTGCAGAAGGTCATGTATTCCAAGTTTGCCTTCGCTGTCATAACCTGACGGCTGAAGGCGTGCTGTATGGCTTCCCTCATCAAGGGGTGTCTGGGCTTGCCATAGATGATGCCTTGAAAAATATGATCTCCTTTGACTCCTATGGCCATGACCATGAACTCCTGTGGGAGTTGGCCAGGTGGGGAGGGTCTGTGACCCACTTCACCTGCCTTCTTTGAGTGAGCTGTGCTCCAATCTGCTGCGAGATACGCGAGTACCTGTTCCCAAGGTACCACGAAGCCACATTTGATGTCGACGTAGAGGCCGCCGTGCTGGTAGTGGTAGACGTAGCGGAACACGTCTGCTCGATGAGCAGGTTGGCTGAGGCGATCTAGCAGATTGGAGCCGTACTTTCCTGCGAGTTGCCGCAGGGTAGCCCGAAGAACATCATCATCACAGAATCTGCGGGTGAAGCCAGCAAACATTTTGGCCGCAACTTGGGCCGGTTCCGGCTTTTCGTCGTGAACGTAGGTCTGGAAGAGGAGGGCCGGGACAGGGGCGGCTTCCCATTCTGGGAGATGTGTGAAGCGCATTCCCCAGGGGCCATGTCCGTATTGCATGGCTACCTCCGAAAGATCACGGACAGTTCGGCATTGTGACAGAGCCTGGGCAGCGAGCATTTCGACATGCATGTCCTGCTCGCGAGCGTTCCAACCAGCTACCACGAGGACAGGCAGTCCTGGGGTGTTGCGCATTTCCTCGATGGCTCTGGTTACAAGCGCCGGGATGACAATGTCCGCGACGTCGGGGCGGAAATGGAGATTCTTGGAGTTGTAGAGCCATTCTACCCCTCCTACACCAGGCATCTGGGCCAGGTCCATGATTTCCTGGTTGTGCAGGTTCTTGTCCGCAAATCCATATTGGACCCTGCCATCGATCAGGTAGTCATAATTGATTTGCTTCTCCGGGCGCAGGCTTCGGGACAGCGGAATGAAGCGAACGTTGATTTGTCCGTCGAGGTGGTTCTCCAAGATGGAGGCCACCGGCGGACTCTGCACTGCCGCTGTGAATTTGTGCGGCCCAAAGAGCCCAAATTGCCAGTGGAGGAGCTCCAAGATGGAGGGGACGCTGCCGGCAGAGATGTTGAGGGCGGCGCCTGGACAGCTTAAGACCTGTCCCGTCAGCAGCGGGAACACTCCGTACGTGTGTCCCCGCAGCATGTGCTGCAAGGTGCTATCGCTGAGCACCAGAAAGGGACCCAGACTGGGAGGTTTGTCCATGTTCTCAGCCGTAGCTGATGGGCCAGAGTCTGTGACACGCGGCCAAGTGGTGAGCTGTGCTCTTCGCAAAGACGCAGTTTGTTACGAAATTTAGCTTCTGCAAGGCGTGTCTGTAATGCATGTTGCGACACTCCTGCCGCTATTTCCGGTAGCAACAGTTCGATCTGACAGCTGCGGTATACATGTAATGCTTTGCAGAGTCTCAAGACCAAGCACGAAGCACAAGCAACGCAGGACGACTATAGGCAAAGAACACCAGCAGAGGGCACTCGGGCTGGATAGCTGGTGCCGTGTGGTAGCTGAGACCTCAGATCGCAGGAAAGAGCAAACGATGATGCAACAGTAGCTGAGTGTTGGCATGCTGCAACGTCGATTTCTCTAGGCAGGTGGGCCACTCATCTCTGACTGTGACTAGTTGGGTGGCTGTGCCACACCTAATCGGAGGCTGTGCCACTTTCCTTGCGTGAGTCAGTGAACTGCCTATGGCCCAAAGTGCTCAGAAAAGTCTGTAGTAGTGGTCGTAGAGAGCACTGGATTCCTCTGCTTCTCGGCTGATGGTTGCCGTTGGCCCATCCGGGTTAAGGGGGTTCCGGAACTTCTGCACCACGACCTGTTGGCTGTGCTGAATGTGGATGGTGAGCTCTTCGGACGCGAGGTGCCACTGGGGCGTGTCAAAGGACTGGACCATGACACGTAGGCCGAGAAACATAGCTGCCCTGGCAGTGCGGTGTGGACTTACAGAGAGCTTATGCTCGACCTGGGAGAGCACTGCGGCGCACCAGGATTTGCTAACCGACGCCAGTGAAAGGGCTGTCAGCAAGTCTGGCTGCGGTATCGCTAGTCTGACATGGACGCCCTGCTGGTCATAGTCAGTGTCTACGTACCGTTGCGCAAAGACAGCTAGGCCTTTATGTAAACGGCGAAGGGCCCAGAGGCGTGCTTGGTCCCGGATCTCGTTCCGGAGCAGCAGTATGGGAACGAGAGTG